TTTTTTGTGGCTGTCCGGCAAAAAACACCGCAAAAACCGATGGTTTTTGATGCGTCTCGGTTAGAAAAATGACCGAAAAAAGACAAAAAAAAACAGGAAAGATTTTGTCAGAAAGGGTTTTTGAGGCTTTTGGAGGCTTCAAAATTGCACAAAACTATGGTATTTACAGGGTTTTGTGCACCTTCCCGGCAGAAAACGCCGGTATTTACACGGTCTTCTGCGCTTTTCCAGCGCTCAACCGTGGTGCGCCTTTGGATCGACGGCTACAAAATACCGTAAATACCAGTGTTTTCAGCTCCTCCTGTCTTCAAGCGTGGCCTTAGACCTTGCCGCGGCTGTGGATCGACGGCAACGAAACCTCGTAAATACCAGTGTTTTTGAGCACGTCCTGTTTGCAAGCATGGCCTGCGGCCACGCAATTTACAGGGTCGCCGCACGTCACTATGTAAATCCGAAGTTGCATTTGAGAAATATGTGACTCCTTTTGAAGGCACGTCAACCTGTATTGAAACCGCTAGACCGCTACAGCTTCTGGAGGTTTTGTCAAGCGTTTGTGCATTAGTTTTTCTTTCATCACGCTCACTCACTTCTCTTCAAACAAGTGGGGGGCCTCTCACCTCCTCCCGGATTACGCCTGATTCCCTGCTACCTTTCGTTCACCCCCCTCCTCTCTCAAGTACCAGATCACGCTTTACGCCAGCCACCGTTCATCCGAAGCCGCGGCTGTCACCAACCACCGTTTACACCAAACTACGGTTTACACCAGACCCACTTTCCCATAATATGCCAGCCATCATCAGCTGTTGCTGCTTGCTGGTTACCAACCACGGCTTACTGTTTATTTGTTGCTGCTTCTGCTTGGTGTTTTTTTGTGACCGCTGCTGCTGCTGCTGCTGTTGCTGCTTGGTTGGCACCCGTGGAGGACACCAAACCACGATGGTTGTTATCTTTTGAGTTGGCCATGGGCAGGGCCATGTAGTAGAAGAAAAGCCAGCGCGAAAGCGATGCAAAACGAGTGCTAAATCTATTACTCGTTTTGCACCGATTTGTAGGCAGCATGTCTAGCCTAGCATCAAAAACTTGGCTTGCACCAAATACAGTCGCAACTTACACTGAACCACTTTTACACCTAGCAACGACCTTTTACACGAAACCGGTAACCGGTTTACCACTTCTACACTTTCGTATAAGAAAAGGATTCTAAAGGACCAAGACTCACAGTTCCAATGTTTAGTATAGGATGTGTTTCTGCAATAGTTTCCACATTTCCTTCCTTTTACCTCATCCATGCAGTGGTCCTTCTCCCGCATATCGCACACGTTGCTCCCCACCAGCTAGCTTTCGTTCACCCCCTTTGGCCTCAAGTTTGAAGATTATAGAAAAGGAGAGGGGTGCTTCTTTCTGCACAGCCTGGGCTCCGTAGTAAGATCAACATCACTGCATTTGACCACTGTTGAAGGCACCCTGCAGGATTCCGACAGCACGGCTGGTACGCAAAGAAATATACGTAGAGAATCGTACGCCCTCAGTGCCAGCCCTAGGAGAACAGCGTTGTCGATCCTTGTGTGGCTTTCAGCTGGCATCAGCCCAGATCATATCTCCTGTGGAAGCTTTTTGAGCTCCTGCGAGCCTGAGTTTGCAGGTTGTCGAATGGGCATATGGGATCATATAGGTTGTCTACAGTAATGGAATGTTTGTTATTTGTGTTTCTTTTTTGTGGGGGTTAGGTGAGGTAGGTAGTAGCTAGGTAGGTAGCTATAAGTAGAAGAGGTAGCTAGTAGCTTAAGTAGCTACTACCTAGGACGCAGGATAGTTCGTGCTTTTTCAAGGAAGCTCCCCCAGCCGCCCCAAAGGCAGCAGGGGGGAGCTTCCTTGAAGAAGCGCTCGCACTATTCATTTGGTCCCTAGATTTTGAGGGAAACTTAACTATATGGCTGATGTGTAAGGAGAAAGCTGGTGAATGGCGAGTAGCTCTTCAGGTGTTTTGGGAGCTACCATCGCGCTCGTCGCAGTGCTTTGACATTCTTAATCGAGTGCTGGTGGGGGCTGCTCATTGGCAACTCACACTTCAGCTGATGAGTCAAATGCTAGAGCAGCGCCTCATGCCCAACGGCATGCATGTGGCTTCTGCAGCGCAGGCATTGAAAATGCCTGGCATGTCAGCAAGGCTGTTGCAAGATTCTCTAGGCTTGTGGAAGGCCAACGCCCCAGAAGTGTTCATTTGGAACTCTAACTTGAAGATGACACTGGCAGAAGCTGGTTGTCATCGCGAGGTTTTGGCATCTCGCCCAGGCATTTTAGCAATGTCGAAGCCGCCCAATATGACCACAGAGGCCATTCTGGAAGAGCTGACAGATCGCGTGAGCAGCCGCGACCCAGAACTTGCATGCTTCACATCAGTTTCGAGGTTAGACTTTCCAACCTCTGGGGTTTTGATTGTAGCTCATGGTCCACCAGAATCTCCAGCTGCAAACTGGTTGCAGGCACAGTTTGCCAGCCGCCTTGTCAAGAAGGAATACCTGTGCCTCGTTGAGGGGAAGAGCCTCGGAGAAGTAGGTTCTCAGGGCGAGATCGTGCAGCCGCTTCTGACCATCTCTTCAAACAGAGGATCAAGAGTGGAAGCATCCTCGCTAGGGCAAGAAGCCCAAACCAAATACGAGGTTCTTCAACGATTTCCTTTGAATGGCACATCAATGGAGCTGATCTTCTTGCGCGTGGCCCCTTTGACTGGACGGATGCATCAAATCCGGGTCCATTTCTCCAGCATCGGCCGACCGCTGGTTCCTTTTTGCAATTTTCATGTAATTTTATTTCCTTTACCTTTGATGTTCTTTTTGTCCGTGCTTTCTTGTTTCAGAATGCTTAAACATAGATATCTTATTTCATAAAAACATAGGTATGTATATATATATAATATATATATATATGTGAATTGTGTATGTATGTGCGACCTGCGCCTCAGGTGGGTGACTTGACCTACAATCAATTTTCACAAGCAAATTTAAGCCCTCGGCTGTTCTTGCACTGCCACCAAATGGAGCTGCAAGATCTTGAATTGAAGCCTTTTGCTGTAAAGCAATCACTCCCAGGAGATCTTCAAATGGTACTTGATAATTTGCATAAAAAATAGGATGCACTAGGGCTCGAATAATTTAAAATGTAACCAATTAATTTGCTATTTGAACTTTGCAGGTGCATGTAGGAGCAACTGATCTGAAATATTAATTGAGGGGAATTTTCATGGAATTGAATCATAATTAATATGAATTTGTATATATAATTGAATATATAACAATATCCTAAATATTACGATAATGCAATTAATATATATAAATATAAATAATACTTAAAACACAACTAAATTAAATTATAGAATTAATTTAATATTTAAATATATAAATATATATTATAAAATAAATATAAATTAAGAATTCGATAATTATATATATATTTTTTAAAATAAATTATTATTAAATTTAAAATTGATTGATTTGAAGATTTTTTTTGCATTTGAATTATTGGATAAATAATTTAATAATAAAGTTATTTTTATATTGGTTCGTTTTAATTAAAGATATAATTAGAATAATATTAAAAATATTTATATATATATATATTATATTTTGGTTAGTTTTTGATTTATAGAATGGTAATGATTAATGTGTATAGATATTAAATATATATGTAAATTTTTGTTTTTTTGGTTAATTGATATGAATTGTATTTGTTCGATTCGTAATTGTTTGATTATTAATTTAATTAATTGTATTATTGATTATTGGGTCTATATTGTATTAGGATATATTTTGTTAACATCGTAAAATGGAGCTCTTGGTATTTAATGAATTGTTGGGAAATACATTTTTAATATTTTGGTAATTTTATTTATGGATTGTTTTTTGGATTAATAATTTTAGGATTTGGGAAATTTATAGGCCGCTTCTTCTTTAAAATTTGGTAGGCCTTATATTTTATTTTTATAAAATAGCATGATTTAATTTTTTCGTTATTATATAAATAGGTTGGTTCGGAAATTTGTGGTGGAAATATGTCTACCAAAAGGTTGCATATTGTTAATAATTAATATCGAACCTGCATATTTATGTATATATTTTTGCATGGTTATGTGCTTGTAGTTCGTAGCATTGAGGCCCAATCCAATAGATTTGACAGATTCCCTAGGGCCTGATAGCCCCATTTTACCTCTATAAAATGGCCTGCCTTGACCTCCTTACCGCTGTGTAGAAAGGCTTACCTTTGGATTTGTTTATTAAAAAATTGCAAATAATTATTGTGTCTATTTGTGGCCTGCCTTTTGGATTAAGAAAATAATTTCAAAGCATCGGGGTCTAGCTTAGCAGACCTGGTAAGATCTGGAAAGGAAACCTTTTCTCCATAGAATGGTATGCCTTGACCCCCGCATTATTGTATAAAAAAGGTTTGCCTATAGATTTGTTGTGAAAATTGTCTTAGGGTCCACAGCCGCATTTGTTGTGGCAGGGTGAACATTTTGTGGCAGGGAGAACCTTTGGGGCAATCCAATTGGGTACGATGGGAAATTGCAGTTGCGCTTGGATAGTCGGCAGGCCCTGCTTGGAATAGCTTCCCCCACAAAAGAACAATCACTTGAGCAGCGCAGAAAAATGGAGACAAGAATTAATCCAATTTTGTACATATTTTGGAAATTCAAAAAAGGACAGAGAAATGACATGGAACAAGATAAATCAAATTTGAAAGATTCAAGAAAAAACATACAACCTCAGAAGTAATTGAAATACAATGAAAAACAAAGCCAAACAATAGAAAAATGACCTGTAGACTACTCGTTATATATAAACTCACGTTAGGTAGACTTTTCAATTTATACATGTGTGGGGCCCAACCCCATTTTATTTCTATAAAATGGGTAGAAGGACTCCCCCTGGTGAAAGGTATCGGGGATTGTATTATATGTTAGCTTATATTATATTAATTGATATAATTAAAATATTGAATATTATTTAGTATGTTTTTGTATTTTTTATGTTGATAATAGTAATTTAAATTATTCAATAATGGTTTTAATTAAATTATATGTATTATAATTAAAAAATAATGTATTGATATTGATAAAATAATTGTATATTTCGAATATATTTATTTTGGAAATGATTTAATGTTGAAGACATATTTACCTATAATTAATAGGAATTTATGAATGATATAAAATGATATGGCGAATGATTGATATTAATAATTTTGTATAGTAATTTTATATATTATTTATTGCTTTTTGATTATGTTTCGAAGAATTTTGATATTATATAATATGGGATTTAGTTATTTTGAAATTCGATTATATTATAATGTAATATTTTTAAATATTGTTGTTTTAAAGAATATTTGGGTTTATTTTGTTTGAGAAAATATGATTTTTTTTTGAATGAAACCTATATTTTTAAGGATTTGATATGTTATTTTATGGGGAGATATGGATAGGGATATATTTCTATTAAGGGTAATAATTTTATATTATTATTTAAATATTATTGATAGATTTTATATATATTTATAGATTTATAATTTAAGATTTGCCGTCGACCTCGAAAAATATTTTTTGTATTTTTGAGCAATTAATTAATGGTATGTTATATTTTAGAGGAATCGATTGCGCTTTCTGAATTAAGCTTAACAAGCCCTAAATAAATCTTAATTAGTGGCTTGATTCTACCCCGAATCCTCGGCGCCGCCGGACCTCGATTTATCGGATTTTCGCTCCTAAACGCTCAATTTCGATTTATCGGATTTTCGCTCCTAAACGCTCAATTTGAATATCTATTTAAAAAAATGCTTTTTATTTTGGTCTCAATGATCGCAGCTCTACACAGGCCGCAGCCCCAAACAAGCCCCCCATCAATAGCTTGATCACCCCGAACCCTTGGCACCGCCGCGGCTTTTCCCTATAGAGTTCTGCTCCAAAACGGGCCTCGATTTGTCTGATTTTCGCTCCCAAACGCTACGTCTGAATACCTAGAAAAGAAATAATTTTTCTCATCCTGGCCTCGTCGCCACAGCTCTAAATTGGCCGCAGCCCCAAACAAGCCCCCACTAATGGCTTGATACCACAGTGGCCGCAATTCTAAACAGACCACAACCCGAAACAAATTTTTAAATATTATTCAAACAAAAATTTCTATATTTTGAATATATTATGAATTAAAATATTCATAAATCAAGTTAAATTATATATATAATAAATAGATTTAAAATATATTAAATATATCCTTTTTGTTATTCAATCATTATTACATATCAATCCTTATGTATTTTTATTAATTTAATATTATTAAATATCAATTAATCCTATTATTTAAATCATTAATAAAATCAATATTATTAAATTGATATTAATATAATTCAATATATTTAAATAAAATATATATATATAATAATATAGAATATAATATATAATTAATATAAAAAAAATTATAGATAGATCAAAAAAAATATATAAATATATTATATATATTATATTCAATCTAAAATATATATATCATAATATAATTTATTGTTTAAAAATATTTAGTTCTAATATATATAAATGGCATATTTAAATCAATCCATATCATAGAAATTAAATGAATTGCATTAATATAATATTTCAACAAGAAATCAACCCTATCGCGTGAAATCGGTTCATTTTTATCAAAATACAATGAACATATTAAAACGAAACGACATATTCAAAGAAATGTGTGCACACACTATTATGGTTGATATTTTTTCTTTTATTTTTCTATATATTTCAAATCCAAATTTCAATAATATAATACCATTCACATCAATATACGACTTAGAAAACGAATTACTTGCGCGCACACACACACAAATAACATATAAGCCTCTATGCGAGTCCCGGCGCGAAATTCGTGCGAGCTTAATTCCGGTTATCGTCCTACGGCTTCCTACGATCAATGGGTTTGTATTTTTTTAAGCTTCCCAGGCCGGGATGTTTGATTATAGGGTATGCTTCGGAGGTATGCTTCGGGGATATGCTTCGGGGGTATGCTTCGCGTAATATAAAGACTAAAATAGTAGCATTTTCAGAGGGTATATTTCAAGATATGCTTCGGAAAATGCTTCGCCTAAATCGAATATCCCAATCCTACATAAATTAAATATCTTTTTGAAAAAAAGAAAGACCAATATGACAATAAATCAATAACCGCCAACCCAAATACCCAACCAAAAACAACAATAACAATAACAACAATAATAATGACAAAAAACAATAAACCCATCATCAATCAAAATATCAAAATTGCCTCATAAATATAAAAAATAATAATTAAATACATATAAAAATATATGTTATAGATATGTTTATTTCATTCATTCTTACATATTCCTATAAAATAGGAATTCTACAAAGAATCCGAATCAATTTTTTACAAATTAAATCGATTTAAAATTAATATCTAATATATATATATATAATATCCCCTGTAAAATTCACATGACCACCCAGGGGGTGCCATTTTATGCCTACAGATGGGGTACCCCAGGTTCAACCCAACCAATCCACTACAAAATCCAGCCCCCCGAGATAGAAACCTTAAGTCTATAATATTGGGTTGTAGGTTGGCCATAGTGAGCTCACAGAAATTTCTCAGAAAAGTGCGCTCTCTATAAAATCAATCCCTCCAAGTTGCAACCGACAGTCCAACAAATGCAAAGCCACATCCCGATGCATTTCCCGATGAATTTCCCGATGCATTTCCCGATGAGTATTCCGATGCGATTTCCGATGCGCTCACCTTTTCTATCCTTTTCCTGACAGAATCTACAAATTGTCTAACCCATTTTGTAACCCATCTGACTCCTTTTCTAACCCATATTGAAACGAAACCAGAGTTGAATCGGCATGAACCGGCTATAACACGCTACAACGTTGCACGAGACAGTGAGGCGACAGTGCTCCGCATTTTACTGGAGCTTTCTCGCGACGTGTTCATCATTGTGGAGCAGCCAGCCCAATCATGGGCATACAAGACAGGGTGTATGATGAACATTAACCCTTCCCACCCTTCCAAGATGGAACCCTCCAGGGGCCCTGATTTTGTAGAGATTGAGTGGGAGGTGCGGGGAAAGTATGATAGGATTCATGGTCCTTGATAATATAGAAAAAAATTGGTGACAGAAATGGTCCAGGCTCCTGATTCTGTAGAGGATTTGGATATTTTGATTGTATATAATATATATTGTATTGCTTATGGTATCTTATAATATTCTATAGTTTGTATCGACTACAGGCTAGGCGCATCGCGCCCAAATGCTCCAGGTTTTTGGAAAATCCAAACAGTTAAAGCATGTGGAGATATTCATGAATCAGCTTTCCCCACCACCTCCCATTCAATCTCTACAAAATCAGGGCCCCTGGAGGGTCCTATCTTGGCAGAGTGGGAAGAGTCCAAAAATACACCTGGCATCACTTTGCCAAATTCAAGAATATCCTTCCCCCTCACCTCCCACTCAATCTCTACAAAATCAGGGGCCGTGGAGGGTCCCAGCTTGGAAGGGTGGGAAGGGTCCAGGTTTGGGGAAAATCCAAATAGTTATATAAAGCATGTGGCCATATTCATGAATCAGCCTGCCCCACCACCTCCCATTCAATCTCTACAAAATCAGGGCCCCTGGAGGGTCCGAAAGAATCCTGGTTTTAATAAAATCAAAAATACCTCTGATATCACTTTGCCAAATTCAAGAATATCCATTCCCCCCAGCTCCCACTCAATCTCTACAAAATCAGGGCCCCTGGAGGATCCCAGCTTGGAAGGGTAGTTGTCTCATTGATCCTTAGGTTTGTAGTCCTCATATACATGGGTTTCTTTTCCCATGATCTGGCCAAGCCTACGCACATGCTGTCGAACATAGAGTGCCAGCCTCAAAGAGATCCATTTAGTGATTTCAATTTGGTTTATTTTTTGATTAAAGCAGAAAATATGGTTAGCGCAGGGGAATTTAATCTAATGTGTTTCATAACAGGTTAACAAAGCAATTCAAGAGGAAATTAACCAAAAAGGACAGAGAACGAATCAAGGTTCCTTAACTAATACATACAAGTGGTTGCTTTTGCTTTGTCGTGAGATTTAACAATAATCAGGTAGAATCTTCTAAGGCTAAATAGTTCCAAGATGTTCTAGCCTAGGCCTAACTAATAAAGAGAAATTTAAAACGAATAAACCCACGAATTTATTACCAAGAGCGCAGGCGTTCCAATGGTAGATATAGATAGCAAAGAACAAAAAAGCTGCCATATACCGCCTCTTTTTGTAAAGCAATTTTAAAGAGTTAATTAAAGGTTAAAGGCCAATAAAATTCAGCCAACACAACCCGGCCAAACACGACTATTAATTCGACGTATTTCCCAACCATCTCTACAAAATAAATTCTACAAAATTATAGTGGATAAATACACACCCTTATATCAATAGAAAAATACTTAATCAATCATCTCTACAAAATAGGTTTTAACCCTCTACAAAATTATAATAAATAAATACACATACTCAAATCAACGGAAAAATATGTAAAAATATAACGTTTCTATAAAATCAATTCCCCCAAGTAAATAATATATTTGCTAAAAATCTCAAAAAAATATCCTAATCATTCTACAAATTTAACCCCCCAAGTAATTCATTTTGTAAAAATCATTTTTTTTCTCTATAAAATGGTCATTTTAACCACCTAAGTGTTTTAAATCTGTAGAGGAAATTTTGCAGGAGATTATATAATATATTTATTCATTTCTAAATATATATATTATATATATTTATAGATATTAATATATTTATTAATTTCCAATTATAATTCGAAATTATATATTCGTATAGAAAATCTAAATCGATAATTTTTATATAATCTATTTATATATATATATTTCTATCCTTAGCAATTTGTTCCGATATGTTCTGCTCTCATGGGTTGTGCTTGATTTTGGAGTGCGACCCCACCAGCAGATGCTTCTGCAACCTGCACTTGGCGTAATGCTCAGACATCAAATCGTCTACGATTCAGGATGGCCATCAGAATAGTATCAGTGAATATGAAATAGATCAGTGGATCCTCAAAGGATCAGCTCCTGGTTTAAAACTTAGGGCATCCTAGGGCTCAGCCTGGCTCGGTTGCGACCCCAGCCTTTTGGCTGGCACTTGATGGGCAGCACGCCCACCAGGTCTCTGGGTGAGGCACCTGGAAGGTGATGTTGGTCTCCGGGCGGGGTTCTAAAATCCACAGAACTCTTTGCACCTGTTCTTTTCAGCTTTTAGATCTTTTTCAGCTGTTTCTGCTCCAAAAGATATTCTCGTGACTTATACTTGGGTGATCTCGGACGAAGGCGGCAGTCAGGTTCTAAAAGTTGGGAAGGTCCAAACCCAATCAAACCCATTTGCTGCCCTATGCCTCCAAGAGGCCCAATCCTGGGTCCCGGACATGATGTTCAGGAGGGTCTTCGGCTTCAATGACCTCATCGAGGATGTGAATCCTGGCCAAAAGAATGCACCAAAACTGGAAACGACATGCTCTACATATGCATATATGCCATTTAAGTACACCGAAAAAAACGCACAAAAATGAGGTAAGAGATGGTAGGAGTTCTGGAGAAATGTTTGAAGAAACTTCCTTTGTTCATTAACAAATCTAAAGAAAATGGAGGCTTTCAGCGATGTCGACTCAAACTGAGGCTGATTCAACAAACTCGCCAGAGGGGCTGTCCAACTTGCACCGGCAGGAAGATATTCCCGCTGATGCGCAGCCACTCCCCATCCACTTCCATCTGAGTGGAATGAAGCTGGAACAATTGAGCAATCGTGAAAAACTCCAGGTATCCTTCTCAAAAAGCGTTATAACGCGCGAAATCCGCTTGAAATAACGAATCGTTTCCTCGAAACCTGTGCCAGAATTCATTCATCATCAACCTCGTCGGCCTCCCCAACGACGATGGCACCATTCTCCGCAAATCGGGAGTATCGCTCCTTCACTGCGACTGACTTGCGTTGACTTGGGACGATATCACACATGACCTGCCTTAGCTGAGCAATCCCGAAAGTGGCAAGGTAGACAATCAGGTTTTCAGAACGAAACGGAAGTCGCTTCTCGTGCCCAAACATAGAAAAAATATCAGTGGAGACCGCAGCAAGTGCTGATCAGTAGAGGACTCGACATCTTTTTGGAGTCTATCTGCTTCAAGTCTCCTCCAATTGCTTTGACCGCCTGCTTTCATGCTTTCCAGCACTTTTCGGAAATTTTTGCAAGGAATGTTGCACATCCAAAGCTGCCCAGAGTTACTTTCCGGGTTTCTTGCGTGATGTTCACGAGGGTGACAGCAAATTTGCAGCCAGCCTATATTGCACTCCGGGGTAGGGCTTCGGGACGGTCACCTCACACAGGAACAACATGGAACAACAAACAACAGCTTTGGGACATCCGCAATGCCTTATGCCTGGATTGACCTGCTTTGGATTGCTGCCTGTCCTATGTTGCCCTTGTTTATGTAACTATGACACAATGTAGAGAAACACCAACATGAAGCAAAGTCAGAGTATGCCAAATCGCTCGGAAACTGCACAGCAAACTTCAATGCAACAGTCTTTATGGAGATGAAAAGTGCCAACACTGCGTGAACCAGTGAACAGTGGAACAAACAGCAAACCTTCATCGACAGAATCTATCCTTTCTTCGTGGCTAAACACGCACTGGCCTTGAACCTGGAGCTTTTTGAAACAACCTCAGCAAAACCGGTCCATGTCTCATCCACCCTATTTTCGGGATCATAGGTCTACCTATGTCTAGATCATGAAGAAACAGCAGTAACAAGTGCATCGCTACTACGAGCAAAAGGCTACTAGTAGCTAAGGGCATTACTACTAGTAGCAAGAAGCTACTAGGAACAAAGGGCATCGCTACTAGTAGCAAGGACGCACTAGTAGCTCCTGGCCATACTACTAGTGGCAAGAAGCTGCTAGGAACAAAGGACATCGCTACTAGTAGCACAAAAAAGCTGCTGGGAACAAAGGGCATCGCTACCAGTAGCAAGGACGCTACTAGTAGCTCCTGGCCATACTAGCAAGAAGCTGCTCCAGTGGTGTGAAGACGACAATGCTGGGGGCCCCTGGCTGGCAAGTGCTGAATTCGGTGCATCAGCTCGCTGCTCAGTCGTTGCAAGTCGGCTTGGCAAATGAGCTTTGGCCAAACCTGGGCGCTGCCAGGTGGTGCTTTCTGAGTGTTTGTACTTTTTGTTGAACAACCAGACCACCAAGGTCACACCTTCGATCTACAATTTGAAGCAGTCATTCTTTGGCTCCGTGGCACTGCACGTCCTTTACAGGTTTTACAAGTTCTTTTGAAATATTGCAGCTGGCCGTGGCAAATCCTAGGATCATGTGCCACCGCTAGCCTTCAGCAGGCACATGCCCTGAGCTTTGGTTTCCCTATGTGCCGCTGAATTCTCGAACGAAGCGAGCTCGACAGGGACCTCTGTGTGTTTTTCCCGTCAAGCTCAGCAACTTCTTGCAAGTATTTCTCACGTCGGCTGGCTGACAGCTAGCTGAATCATATTGTTTTCAGGTTTATGGCAGCGGACGTCATCAGAAGTCTCGCGACTTGTGATGCTTGAGAACGAGGCAGGGGCTTTTCAGGTTTCTGGGTTCTCTCCATCCAAAGATTGAGATTCAAAAATGATTCAAAGCTTGCTTTATCTTGCTTTTCAGCCTGCCGGTCCAAAAAATAGCTCTGCGAAGCTCTGCTCACACGCAGATCCAGAATGCAGAAAGAATAAGAAAGGCCTTCACCCCATTTGGCTCGTGACACCGCTGGAGATTAAAAGCAATGAATGCAGGCATGCGGCAAGCTTGTGCCTGATGCCCCCGGGCACGATGAGTTCAAGCAAACTGGAACGAACACGTCCGGACGTATTTCGCCCGAACCGGATCCCTTCGGTCTGCTTCGTCCAAAAAGATAAACACCGTTGAGCGTCACATCTGTGATGAGATTCTATGAACCAGAGAATTCTATGAAGCTCGCAAAGCCCTTTTTGTCGGCTTTGTTCTACTATTCAGAAGATTCACTCTGCAATGCTTACGGGAAAAGCCATGGCCATGTGACAGCAGGTTCTACTTGCTCCCACGACCACAGGCGGTGGTAGGCACCCAGCGCTCTCAATCTGCAAAAGACAGGCAGCTTGGTCAACGAAAAATGGGACTATGAAGATATATGGAGATCATTGAGATCATGGGTTTGTGTGCTACTAGTAACAAAGGGCATCGTTACTAGGAGCAAGGACGCGACTAGTAGCTCCTGGCCTTACTACTAGGAACAAGAAGCTACTAGGGTTTGTGTGCTGGGTTGGAGAGCCAGGTCTAAGAATTGGTATAGGGGGCAAGTGGTTAGCAGTGGCTAGCCTCCAGCATTCTTGAGGTTCCAGCGCTGGGTCCCCGTCCCGTTGATGCATATGACTCACTCTCCACAGACCCTAAAATGCCAGAATGTCATTCTGAACAACTCAACGAGGACGTCAAGTGTTTGCTGATTCAGGGCTTCAATAACTAGCAAGTTAAGAAAGAAATGTTCAGAAACTCACTGTAGCAATTTTCAGAAACTCACTGTAGCTCCCAACGGCTCCCGTTTGAGTGGGGGGAAAATGACAAACTAGGTTCTGATGACTAAGAATTGATGGCATCTTATGGCTTGGGAGTAGCGGGCGGTACTCCTTACTCCTTTGTCACTTGGAGGTAGTATATATACCCTGATCGTCGGCTCCCTTCGCTAGTTCAGGGCTCCACCCTGGTGCATCGAAGGACATGTGCACCCTGGTAGTCCATAAAGTAAAACGGCAGCTGATTCAAACCCGGATCCTCTCAGCAATCTGCAGCACATCGAGCCCTGGAATGTGAACTTCATCGTATTTCAGCCCTTTGATCTCTTCAGCACTTGGTGCTTGGAGCAGTTTGGCCAGCCGATTGTCCTGGAGGTCGGCTGGTGGCTCAAAGTGAACACACCTTGCCATGCAACATAATGCATTCAGCTTGGATTTGGGAACCCTTCGCCATCAAGAGTCATTGTCAGGAGTGTAAACATATTTTTACAGAATCTCCGTAACCTTTAGCCACGACCATGGAATCTTTCCCCACTCCCTGAAGAGGCTGCCTGAGGCAGGCAAAGTCTTGCAATTTACAATGTTCCCATTCCATTTGGCATACAATTTAGAAACATGGCGCTTGTCATCAACATAATCAACTGCATCTGAAACATGTGAAAGAACATGAAAGAACGAACATAATCACTATCACTACAAGCATGTCATGTCTCCAACCGGTTCAAAGGTCTCACCCTCAAAACCGGACAGGACAACAGTGTCTACTAAGGTCTCACCCCTCCTGGATGGCGTTTAGCTTCTTCAACTCCGCACGTGTCTTGGCACGAATGGCACGTAGCTCGCTGGCGGCTCGGCTGCGCTGCTCCTGGTCGTTCGCTCGGAACGAGGGGTGGAAGTTAGTTTATCCTCTGACTGACTCACCAACATGGGAAGTGGAAATGGTTTGCAAGGTTTGCTCCTAGTAGCTTCTTGTTCTCTGTAGTAATGCCCTTGTTACTAGTACCGATGCCCTTGTTACTAGGTTTGCCTCTGGGCAGACCAGATTCCTCCAAAAATGGTTCCCACTTCCATGTTAGTGAGCTGGCATGAAACTTCCAGGTGTCAGAAGGAAACAATGAGAAACGAGACGAAACAAGTGTCCGATAGCTAACAACTGTTCAAGCTGCAACGCGGCACGCAGAGACCAGCCTGAGTCGTTGCAGAGACCATCTCCTTGGGGGGTCTAAGCAAATCAAGCCTCTACAATTGTCGAGTCATGGGTCATGGACCATGGATTTGTAGCTCGCAATGCCAACGATGGCAACCTATCGCACAATTCGTGCAACTCTTCCACGAGTGCAAAAAAATTGGACCCTTTCAGATTACATAGTTCTCAAAAGGTATCAGAGCTGGCGCAAAAGCACCGGGCTCTACAATGCCCACAGCTTGATGATCCTGGTCGAATGCTTGGGGTTCAAAATAGCAACAGGTTCCAGGACATTTCCAGGACATACAAACCGGGGCCGCAAACTTTGAGGAACATGCGGGCTCGCCAAGGTGCTAGTGCGAAATTTCGAGCGACACCGGGACGCCAAGGGCCCAACCTTGCCAAAGCGACCACGTGTTGCGTCCTTGCTCCTAGTAGCGATGCCAGGAGCCCCTAGTAGCGTCCTTGCTCCTAGTAGCGATGCCAGGTTCCAAACATCTTGTCTACTGGTTCGGTCATGTTTCTCGCCTTAGCTCTTTGCTCGAACATAATTTGGTCCCGAGCTTGCTCGGTAGGGCACTTTCCCACACTACATTTGCACTACAAACTGGCCACTTCTGAGTCCATTTCTGAAAGGCTCTTTCCCGCACTACATTTGTACTGCAAACTGGCCACTTCTGAGTCCTCCTTGTTTTGGCAAGGGAAGACTTTGGCCAGCGTCCTTAACGGCTATGCTTGCGCTGAGGATTCAGAACCGCTATGCAATTCAGATGCATACGTTGACTGCGTGGACCTCTTTGAATTGGCCACCGGTCAGAAGAGTGTACCACTTCACCAGACCACTGAGGTATATTCGATGAGAGGGTTTTTAGGTTGGAAGTCTTTTGGTGTCACAGGCCTCAACTTCAAAGCTTTTTAGTCATAATGTATTTTTGGCAAGTCTCCAAAACGAGCGTTTCGTACGAGACTTCCTCCGTTGCACGCGGCCCGGACAAACCGCGCCTGCATTTCGCGCACTCGACACGCACGGTCTCCGCAGAGGGTCGCGCGCACACCGGACAAATCGCACTCTCGCCTGCATTTCGCACCCTCGACACGCACGATCTCCGCAGAGGGTCGCGCGCACACCGGACAAACCGCACTCTCGCCTGCGTTTCGCGCACTCGACACGCACGATCTCCGCAGAGGGTTGCATTTTCGGTTGACGCTGTTCGTCCCACCCTCCGCCTTTAAAGAGAATTTAAAAAGTGGGGGAATGCTTTTCATTAGGATATCTCCCGTGAAAGTTTTTCATGCTTATGCTTACGCTTACACTTGCATACTTACACTTGCACGCTTACACTTGGATACTTACACTTGGATACTTACACTTGCAAACCTTCCCTTGGATACTTCAGCGCCATTGTAAGTATAGAAGTGTAAGTGTTCAAGAGATTTTCCGGAAGAACCCTTCGCAATGCTTTCGGGAATTGTGCAGAAATTGACAAAGGCAATGTGAACTTTACAAAAATATTAAAGGACAGCATAATAATGTGATTGTGTGTTTTAAGTTTATTGCTTTCTTCAAGGTCCAGGTGTTTCCCTACCATTGCTTGGTAGATATCGCTGGCCAATATAGAATCTATGCCTGCTGACCTGCAAGAGCTGCAATACCACCGCGCCCAAGCACCACATTTAGAGGTGGGTACACCCACCAGTGCTGGAGATGATTTTCAGCTGTCCATGTTTCAAATAAATTTGGCCCTCGTCAAAAATAAACACCTCAACCACTGCAAAACATCGACCGCCAATCCCTTCCATAAAGACCCTTCCATGAAGACCACACAGGGTGATCTTCCCAAAGCGCTTTTTGAAAGATGCAGCAATAACAACGAGCCCGGTCAAAGGCCCGCTGTGCGACCCTGAACAACCAGTTCCTTGGAATACACCTGAGGATATGTTCTAGTGGAACTTTTGTGCACAGTGCAGGGTTTTGGGCCAGCGGCCAGAATCTCATCTGCAAACGGGTGGTGGTGGTAGACTACCCAACCACCCCCAAAGATATGATGCCCATTCTTGGAAAGATGGGGGAACACCCCTCCACATTAACCACCACCTCGACAGGATAGGGAGCAGTGACGTACTCAACCACTGCCCAAATAAGTTCTAGCTGCAACGCCGTGTCATTTGCTGCAGGCAACTTCGACTAGATTGCTACACCTGTGGATGTGGCCACCTTGTGCGCCTTTTTTGTGCTCAGCCAGGCTGTGGACTTCGCTTTGGGGCGGTAGTGGGTTGCTGGAGGGGAGGCTGATCTCTTGTAGCCCACCTGGTGACTACTGTTCATGTGATGCTGCTCATGCCATTCAAGGACCAAGACACCTTCATCAGATTGTTGCTTTGCCGCGAATTTCCCAGATGTTCTCTATGCATTTT